ACTTATTACATTCGATATTTTTATTCCATTGAGAGTGCATCGGTACACATTGAATGTGTATCGACGCACACAACCCAGAAATTACATTTTGAGCTCGAAAATCACTTCATTTTCACCTCAACTCCTCATATTTCACCCCCTTTAATATTCCTAACTCTCATACACATACTTGCACTCATTTCTATTCAGTAATCAATTCTTCAACCTCCATATCCTCTACTCCTTATGAAATTCAAGAATCATACCCAAATTTTAACATGTTACAAATCCATTTATAACACTTCATACATGTTAATTAGATTGATCACAAGTCAAATTCACTCTCAAACCTCATTAAAGAACTCTCTTTCAAGATTTCGCTTATTCCTCTATTTTCTTTAATTCCCTCTATTATCTTCATCTTATTGTTTCAAGACAATTTAAACTCTCTTTAAGCTTAATTATCACCTAATAATCAAAACGCAACCTTAAATTTAACAAGAAATCAATTAACCATAAACTCAGTTTTGACTCTTGGCTTCCACACGTGAAGAAGAAATGAGAAGAAGAGAACTCTGGAAACTCATTTAGTTTCCCCTCTTTCCCCCACGTGCTTAATATATATAACCATATTTAATTATTTTCCTTACAAATGACTATTTTGTCCTTCAATTCTTCCCTCTTATAGTTTAATCCTACACAACATTTTCATATAAGTCCTTGAACTATTTAATTATTCTACTTTAGTCATTAAATTTTGAAATTTAACAATTTGTTCACTAACCCGGTATTGAGGATGTTACATCGTATATGTCCCGAAAGACCTCATATAACCCTCGACTCTTGGCATGTCAACTATACCTATAGCTCTCATATTACATAACATGGGCTTAAATATTTATATGTTCTATATATCGATATCATCACTAATTCATCATATATTCATATACTCATATCATTTCTCTTATAATCATGTATGCCTTATCACATACCATGTATCACATATACATATAATCAACTATATCATGTCATATATCTTATGTTGTTTGATTATATTCACATGTATCATGTAGCATATGTAAAACCATATAAACAAATAACACTTATGCATGTGTTTATAATAATCATAATATATACATGTTCATAACTATTGAACCATGAACTTTAAAATAGGAAATAGACTTATCATAAGTCTTATTTTCATAAAACTACATCTATACTATAACATGCATTCATCTTAGCCTCACTGAATCCAAATCAATTTCTATGACTTTATTCTTCTTAATCGATCCTAACTCTTCGGTCGTTCCAGAATTTACTTATGCTCAATATCTACACAATCATACATTTGATGTGCATATCAGAATTCTAGGTATCACACTTCGATCCTTAATAACCCAAGCTAAAAGAAATGTTTAATAAAATTTTCCGCTTTTAGTAGTATCGGTACCCCTGTATGGTACTGATACTTCCCTAGCTGTGTTATCGATACCCATTTTCGATTCTGTGATTCTTATTTCCAAAATGGTATCGATACCTGATCTATGGTATCGGTACCCTGAGTATTGATACTACCCATTTTGTATCGATACCCCTTAAATAACTTGTTAAATTTTGGCTTATGGTATCGATACTGTTCAACCAGTATCGATACCCCATATACTAAATATCACTCTTTTACCTTTGAAGTATCGGTACTTGATGAATCAGTACCAATACCCATAGCCCATAAATCACTTTTTAAACCCAAATTTTACCCATATTAATCTAAACCTTTCATTCCTTCACCCCTTTCATATACTTAAACTTACATACACATACTCCAATCAATTTATATTCATATAACACGGCCTTATCTTCCAAATATCATCCTATATTTTGAAATTAAGAATCCTACCAATTTTTCAAAATGTTCTAATTTCAATTCTAACACTTCATACTTCTTAATTTAGCTGATTACAAGTCATATTTAGTTTCAAACTTTACTTACTAACTCTCTCCCAAAATTTCACTTATAAACCTCTTATCTTTAATCCTTCCAAACTCCTTTATCTTTTGATTTTAAGACAACTTAAGCTTTATTTCAGCTTAAGTATCATCTAAAGAACATAAACCAAACTTAAATTCAATTCAAGATCAGCTAACAAAAAACTCACCTTTGCTTTTGGATAACTCACGGTTGAAAGAGGAAGAAGAGTTATCTGGAAACTTTCTTTTCCCTTAATCCTTCAATTTCGCGTGTTTATATCCTTACCACAATACATTTGTAATTCATTTCTGGATCAAATGGCCATTTTTTCCTTCAATTCATCATTATTTTCTATTTAGCCATACACAAAATTTTCCATACAAGTCCCTGAACTATTCAATTTATCTACTTTAGTCACTAAATTATGAAGTTTTACAATTTGGTCACTAACCCGGTGTTGAGGATGTTACACCACTTCTTGGTCATAAATTAAAAACAAAAGAAAGAAAGAAATTAGTAAATTATCGTTAGTCCTCGACAACGCCTTCAATTTGACATGCATCATTTTTCGTGTCAAAATAATTTATTCTTCTAAATTAATAAATAAAGAAAATTTAACGTAGTAAAGGAGAAGTAAGGATCGATCCCATAGAGACTAAGGAGACTTCCTGATTTATTCGTGCTTTGTTTAATGTTTGTGCCAATAAGTGGATTGTGTGGTATTCAAGTAATGATGAGGCTTTGTAGATGAAGAGAGTAAAATAAAATAAAAACAAGAAAATAAAGAATATTAAAGAGAAGCGAAAGAAGATTAAGAAAAAGATTTAAAAGAAATAAATTCAATATGGCAAAATCAGCCTTGGGCTTTCTCTTTGGCTCAGTTTCCTTGGATCATCAAAAATGGTTTTTACTTCGGGATTCACGTCGATTACTTGTCTATAATGATCAATCCTTATGACTATGCTTTGTATACCAAATACCCAAGTGCAACCTTTGATTCCATCTTTGGAAATTAAGTAATCAACATCAATTGTTGTAGATTAAAAACCATTTAAGTTCGTAAAAGAGCGACTCGAATTATGTTGTTTCAATAATAACATATTTCGACCTCAATTCCCTCTTAGCAATCAATTTGCTAAGTGTGTTCCCAAGAAGTCGAATGTGCTTTCAATAAGTCGATCCTTCCTCCACATATTTCATCTTAACAACATCCTGACCAACGTCAATCTTTGGTTTTGAAATCGTTTTGATTTTTTAAAATAAACGCAAGAAATTGAGAGAGATTTCTGAAGTTATTTGAGTGTTTTTCAGTTCTCACGTTGGAATTAAATCATCACTTTAGCCATCAGCTTAAAAGAAAATTAAATGAAACGAAAATAGAATATAAGAAAGGATTTTTATTAAACTAAAGAAAGAAAGAAAAAAATCATGCAATCTGAGATGTCATTGAAGCTTTACCCAAAGTGTGTATTTATATCTTCCTAAAACCCTAAAATATGCTGAAAATACAAAAGATAATTATTTAAATTTAAATCCTAAAAATTAAAAAGATAATTCCTAAAAACTTGATTTTCAAATGCTTGAAATACTTCAGCCGTCCATCCACTTTCTAGAATTGCTGACTGGACGCTGCTAACTGGATCTTCTAGTAGTTGTTGACTCACTGCCACATCAACATTTCATACCTAAATTCATGTCCACTATTCCAACTTTGATTCGAGAACAAAAAGTGTCATTTTAAGTTCATTTTTCAGAAGTCATTTCCCTGCACAGAAATCACATAAATAGGCCAAAATCAGCAATAATAATGAACAAACGAGGAGTATCTAATCATAAAATATTGTCCAAAATAAACATTGAACGCTACTGAGTGGAGCTTCTAGAAGTTGTTGACTCACTGCCACGTCAACATTTCATGCCCAAATTCATGCCTACTGTTCCAACCTTGATTCGAGAACAAAAAGTGTAATTTTTAGTCATGTTAAGCACATTTTTCAGAAGTCATTGCCCTACACAGAAATCACGTAAAAAGACCCAAATCAGTAATAATAATTAACAACCGAGGAGTATTTAATCATAAAATATTGGCCAAAATAAACATTGAACGCTGCTGTGCGAACCTTCTAAAAGATGCTGACTCACTGCCACATCAACATTTCATGCCCAAATTCATACTCACTGTTCCAGTCTCGATTCCAGAATAAAAAGTACAAATTTTAGTCTTTTTAAACACATTTCTAGAAGTCATTGCCTTGAAATAATATCTTGTAAAAAGGTAAAATCAACAATAATAATAAACAAACGATGAGCATTTAATCATAAAATGTTGCACAAAATAAACACTAGTTAATTAAGTATGTCGATAAGTTGCGGATTCATAAATATTTTTCAATGTGAGCACACATATGTTAACAATATAAAATTTTTGAATATGTTAGATACAAATAAAATTTCAGGGTGTATACAGTCCATAAAATAAATAACTAATCGAGGAAAACTCATATATCAAGATGAACATAATTTTTTTAAAATTAACACAATTAATAAAATAAATAATTAAAAAAATTTAAATTTTAATATAGAAAAATAATCACTCTCACCAGGCCCGGGCTCGGAGACTGCTGTCAGCCGATCCTGCTACAAAGTGGATTAGACGACGTGTAAGCATCGTACCAGCAAGTCATAAGGTAAGAACATTTAAACTATTTAACCATGAATAGTTTGCTCAATTACCAAAATATGCCTCTTGTTTTTCCTCCAAACTTGTAGCCTGTTTTGCATTCCCCATAACACAGGTGGTTTTCGTGGACATTTCTGTCACATCCTTCCAAAACCCATGTGCCCACTGCCCACTTTTTAATTATCTTGGGATCGAATATCATTCTGAATCCCATTTTTGCCCTCACAACTTGTTGTCATCGAGTGAGTTCACAAGGACATTTATGTCATATTCTTCCAAATCCGTCCAACCTATGCGCCCACCGAACCAAAACCATTGTCGAAACCATGAGCAGATAGCAAGTAGTTTTGGTTCTCTTATAAATATAAGAATCCCCTTCTTCCACTTTACCATCAACAAAACAGCAAAATTCAGTGTCTCTTTCTTAATTCAAACTTCACGAAATGAGTTCAAGTAGCAGAGCGTGGATCGTGGCAGCTAGTATTGGAGCAGTGGAAGCATTGAAAGACCAAGGCGTCTGCAGATGGAACTATACTGTAAGGTCAGCCGTGCAGCATGCCAAGAACCATCTCCGGTCTGCTTCACAGGCCAAGACTCTCTCTTCTCAATCCTCCGCTGCAATTTCCAAAGGACTCAAGTCTAAACAATCTGAAGAGTCTCTGCGGACGGTCATGTACTTGAGCTGTTGGGGTCCCAACTGAACCAATTCTTTACAGCAAACATCCTTTGAGTGAATTGCTGGTCATTTCGATAAGGTTTGAGGACTGAGCCAACATACTCATTTGGGTTGTATAATTAATGTAAATAGCTTTCTATCATCGTATATAACTTAATGAAAGAGAATTTTGCGAATCGCTTGCCATTTCATTCTTTTCGCTACTGTCTCCTACAATTGATGTCCCTGTAATCGGAAAAAATAAGCTAATTGATCTAATATTTTTAATGCAATCCGAAAATTAATCCGATAAATTCGATTTATAAATCTGATCTATAAAGTGAATAGAATCTAGACTTAAAATAACCCAACCTAATCTTAATGCCATTAATCTCACTTAATTAAATTTAGGGTTAGATATATAGATGATCACTTTTATTTGTATCTTGTTACTTTTGTTCATTGTTTTTAAAAAACATGAAAAATTGAATCAAGACCTTGTAAACAGTGTAAGTGCTTGAATGGGATTGGTAAAATTGTGAAGATTCTTGGAGATGGTATTCAACTGGTTATAAATATAGGCTTAAGCTTTGCAAGGATAAACTCTGGTTATTCGACACTCTTGTATCTTATCTTCTGATTTTCAATCGTCTTTTTCTAATTATCCCGGAATTGATGAAAACGACGGAAAGAAAACTGAAGCAGGGATAAGAAGCAAGCAATTCTCAAAATCCTTTTCATTAGATGATAGAGAAATATTCCTCTCCTACATCTTTTTCTATGCTATATACATTCATACGGACAAGACAAATCAATGGAAAGCTCGAAGCATAGCTCAATTTGGACCCCAACAACTCAAGTACATGACTTTCCTCAAAGACTCTTCCGATTGTCAGTTGGAGTTGTCTTCCCTGCTCAATCCCTTGGAAATCGCTGCTGAGGATTGAGAAAAGAGGCTCTTGGCCTGAGAAGCGGACCGGAGATGGTTCTTGGAATGCTGCACGGCTGACCTGACAGTGTAGTTCCATCTGCAAATACCTTGGTCTTTCAGTGCTTCCACAGCTCCGATACTAGCCGCAACAATCCATGCTCTGCTGCTTGAACTCATATTTTCAAACACTCCTTGATTTTGGGATATTGAAATTGAAGAAGATCGTATTAGAAAGATAGACGGGATTTAGATGTACTTTGTTGATGGGGGCTACCGATGAAGCTTCTTGTATTATATAGGATCAGGGGAAATAAACTATTTGCTGTGTGGCTCGAGGTTTTGAGTTACTGGAAACAGCCGATGGTTTTCTCTTTATGAGCCTAAACATCCATAGCAAACCACTCGACGATTAAGGATACTTACCGGGCGAGTCTACTACGAGTCGGATAACGTTCCATTCATATTTGTTAAAAAAATTGTTGCTTGTTTTAACTCATTTTTTGTTAAGCTCATTAAAATTTTATTTGATTTGTGCTCGTTAAGAAAACATATTGTTCAACTTGTTGCTCATTAAACTCGTCATTCATTAACCTCGACGCTCATTGCTCGCTTTGTTATTCATTAATTTCAACGAAAATTTTACCTTATTTTATTAAATATAGATAAAATCTACTAATACTATATATAATTTAATATAAACATAAATTAATAAATTTAACTAAAAAATTTACCAAAAGAATATGTGAAGTAACAATCTAAAAATATATTAAAATAATAAACAAGATTTGATTTTTGAGTGTATGAAATATTTTTTTAACATAACTACTAAAGATTAAATAAAAAAAATTAACGAACTAGTCATAAATTTATCAAGTCAAATTGAATTTTGTCTGACTAAACTCGTTAAGGTCTCAAATTGAGTTCAAATTGAATTAACTCGAATCAAATTGAGTTTTTACCGAACTTTGATCGAGTCGAGTTCGAGTTGCTCACAAACTGCTCAACTCATTAAACATTCCATTAATGGCATGAATTAGACAGGGGCAAAATTGGGATTTGGTTGACTGAAAATAGCAGTGGTTTGTCATTAATAATTTCAAGAGGTGGTACCACGTAAGCATATTTTCATTTTATGTGATAAAAATAAATATTATTTTATAAATAAAAGATTTTCAAATATTATTTTAATAAAAACTAAAAATTATTATTCATTATCCATCCACTTGGAATTGGTACAACTGAAATATAGAGTTCATTGAAGGCCACGCAGGCAAGTTATTTGCAACGTGCTGTGATTTCAGTAGTACGTGTTCCGTATTCATTAACCCACGTAGACATCTTTATCGAACAAGTCTATCACGAGTTAGACAATATTTAACTCGTATTTATTAATAAATTTTGTTATTCAACTCGACTTGTTTAATTTATTAAAATTTTATTTAATTCGTGCTCGTTAAAAAAAATTAATACTTGTCGTTATTCATTAAATTCGATGTCTGATAAGCTTGATACACATTGCTTTTCTCACTACTTGTTAAGTTTTCCAAGACTTTTATCTTATTTTCTTAACTAAAACTAAAATCTACTAATATTATATATAGCTTAATGTAAATCTAAATTAATAAATTTAACAAAAAAATATTTAAAAAAGTGTATAAAATAATTTCAAAGTCTAAACTCTAAAGTAACAATTTACAAATACATTAAAATAATAAATTATGTTTAAATTTTCGGCCTAATAAAATATAAATTAATAAATTAATATTTATTTTATTGTTTATTAGAAAATTAATAGATTAATTATTTATCATCATTTTTATTAATTTTTTTGAATAAAATATTTTTTAAAATAACTACTAAAATATTATATTAAAAAATTAATCAACTACTAGCTGCCTTAATTTTTTTAGAATGAAATGTTTTTTAAAATAATTATTAAAAATTATATAAAAAAATTAATTAGCTACTTGTGAAATAAAAATTGTATAAAAAATTAATAAACTACTCGTAAATTTGAACTTTGCTCGACTCAAATTGTTAAGATCTTAAATCCAGTTTAAATTCGAGTCAAATCAAATTCGAATCACTAACGATTATTAAATTTTAACCAAATAAAATTTGAGTCATTCACGAATGTGGACCCCTAAACTCACCTTACAGATTACACAATAAAAAAATGTTTGTCTTAAATATATCTAATATATTAATTTATTATATATTTTTCATAATTGACCTTTCTTTAGTTATTCTCATTATGATGGGATGAGATTGCGATTAACATATCAATTTTTCATTCATTTATTATAGATATTTGTTCATATTTTTTAAATCCATTTTACATATCAGACTGTAACTAGTCGTTCACTGTCATATTTTATTTAAAATTATTTTGAATGTATTTTCAATATTATTTTAAATAATACCGTTTATAACTATTATAATCTATCCATATTTAAAAAAGACTTTAAAAAAAATCAACCGTAAAAACCGTCAAATGAGAGTTTAATTACGGTGATACAGTGAATTTTTCAAATAAAATAACCTTTCAATCAAATGGGAGCCTCCATAGGAGCGTACCTAATCTAACGGATCAGATTCAACCAACGTCTACTTTTTCCCAACGGCCATATATCTCCCAAGAAAATAAATTCATACCCCTTTTACCAAAATCCTTCAAACATCAGTACCAAAACTACATTCATCTCTGCGTATTCTTTCAACATTCAAAATTTTTGTTGTATTTTCTGTTTCTCCTCGATCTATAGTGTATAAGGATGAGTATTCTTCAATACCCAGATTCGTTTAATGTTCCAGAGCTTCAAGTCTGGAACAATGCGGCCTTCGACAATGGGGAGTCTGAAGATGCAAACGCCGTCAAGGTTTCTTGGTGTAATCTTGATTCTGGGTCGATGAATCAGTCACTGGAATCCGATGGAAGCAAAGAAAACCAGAGTCCTCTTTGGTTAAAATCCCCAGTTTATTTCAAATCTACTGCGCCTCTTGTCGAGCCTTGTTCCAAGAATGTTCCCGGGAACACGAAAGAGCCATTTTGGGCGAAAGTAATGAGTGGGGTTGGCAAGGAAGAAGACAAGAAGCGTGATGAGAAAAAGATTGATATGGAGATTGAAGAGACAGAGAAGGAGGTCACTCGTTTGTCATCGAAACTCGAAGCTCTCCGACTCGAAAAAGCCGAATACAATGCAAGAAGTATCGCGATGAGAGGAAGGATTGTGCCTGCCAAATTCATGGAGCCAAAACAGAGCATCAAGAATTTGGAGACGGTAAAAATGATTCAAGATACTCCGTTTTCAAGTGCTAAACCAAAATTGAATCGAAGGGGGGTTAGTTTAGGTCCAGCGGAGATTTTCTCAGCAACAAAATCGAGGCAATTTATGAAGCAGGAACTCACAACTCCTATACAGTCGATACAGAGTCGCCGCAAATCCTGTTTCTTTAAGCTTCAAGATATTGACGAAGGCAAGGTTACAAGAGAGAGAGGCAAGAGCTTGAGTCTCAGCCCTAAGCCACGTAAAACTGTTTCCAAGGTCATTGCTCCTAAGCCGGCAGCAACAACGGTCGGGGCTAAAAGGGCGGTGAAGAAAGAAGAGGGCGTTCTTTCTACAATTCAGCCTAAAAGGCTCTTCAAAGATGGAGAAAAACCAGTAACAGCAAAGAAACCATTGAAACCTGGGAGAGCCGTCAGTAGCAGGTACAATCAGATTCCCAACCAGAGAAATGCGAGTTTAACAATGAGCGATGCTCGAAAGCAGGATAGCAACAAGCACGATAAGAGGCGTGTTTCGAATGAACAGATAGTTGATTCGTGCAAGAATGAAAAGAGTGAGAACAGAGTGAAGAAGAAGTGGGAAATTCCAAGTGAAGTGATCATTCTAAAGGAGGAATCACCGCAGTCAATTGATAAGATCAATGATCTTCTTCCAAAGATCAGGACCGTGAGAGTTTGGCATGAAAGTCCTCGGGATTCAGGGCCAGCCAAAAGAGTGGCAGAGCTGATGGGAAGGAAATCATATTTCAATATGGAGGACTCTGTTCGTCAGGCTCTGAGTTTTGCAGAAGGGGATGGTGAGGAAGAGTGATTCATTCCCGTTCTTCTTCTTTCCTTTTGTCATTTACATTTGTAGACATTGGGGTTTCAGGAAGTAAACCATAACCATTGTTATGGGCTATGAATGGTTACGTTGGCTTGTAATTCATATGTATATGTTACAGGTTAAGCTTTTTCTTTCACTGCAAATGCAAAATAAAATGAGCTTTTCTCTTCCTTTTGGGGTGAAAGATGAAGATATTGTAAAAAGTTATTCTTTAGGCTATATTTTTGTTGGAAATACTGAAACCATATAGCTTCACAGTTGAATAAGCTTCACAGTTGAATGAGCTTCACAGTTGAATGAGCTTCCTTGTTCCCATCTGTGGCAACATATCTGTGTAGTGAAGGTTTATTGGAACAAGAACAAAGAAACACCATTAGTCATTTGAAAATTGTTCCTAACGTTGGATTCCAATAGCCAAAATTGTTCCTAACGATGGCATTGGGAGCTCAATCTGTGGCTAGCAACGCCTACCATTTGCTCCTCCACCTCTAAAAGCTTCTTTGAGTGATGAAAGATAGGTAGAGATAGATAAGCAGTGATCACCAGGATCCTAAGCAAACGCTCAACAATGAGGCAATGATAGCCTTTACAGTTGCGACGGGAAGCGCACATGTAACATCGTCATATTTTCTAGTTCTCAAAGGGTACAAGAAAATCCACGAAAATTCCTTGGTCTTGATCATTTAAATCCAACTGCTACCAGGAGCTACCTTCACTCCCCTTTCCTTCATTTCCAATCTCATTCTCTCAGATTCCTCATATCTTCCAACACTAGCATAAATCCTAGCCAATAACACATAATTGGCTGCATTAGACGGATCTATCTCAAACAAAACTCTCCCAGCAATCTCGGCCAATTCAACTTCTCCATAAGTCCTACAAGCACCAAGTAACGCTCCCCAAGTCTTTGCACTCGGCTTGACAGACATTTCTTTAATAACTTTATAAGCATCGTACAACCTCCCTGCTCTGCCCAATGCATCAACTAAACACGAATAATGATCAGCACTTGCTTCAACTTTGTAATCCGTATGCATTCTATCAAAATAATCCAATGCTTCATCAGCTAATCCAGCATGGCTACAAGCTTTCAAAACGCCAAGAAAAGTAATGTCATCAGGCCGCACTTTTGCCAACTCCATTTGCCTGAAAACTTCCAATGCAACCATTGCCTCACCATGTAAAGCGTAAGCTGATATTAAACTACTCCAAGCCACTACATCTCTTTCTTTCATACATCTGAATACATTCCGTGCATTAACAAGACTTCCACATCGCCCGTAAGCTTCCACTAAACCACTTCTCAACTGCGGGTGAGGTTCTATGTTGCTTCGAAACGCATAGCCATGAATTCCTTTAACCAAACTCAACGCAGCTACGCCAACGCAAGCAGGTAATAAAGCAAGAAGGGTAATCAAATTCGGCCTCAACCCCATTTTCTGCATCCTTCTATAAAATCCAATAGCCTTAAAAGATCCATCCTCCGATTCATTCAAACCTGCTATGATGGCATTAAATGTCGACTCGTTCTGCTCAACATCCATAGACCGAAAAAGTTCCAATGCCACCTCCATGTTGCCGGAGCGCGAGTAGAGAGAAATCATGGAACTCCAACAAACAGGGTTTCGTTGAGGGATTTCGTCGAACAACTTGCGGGCCAAAGAGATGGAGAAGCATTTGCCATAAAAGTCGATAAGAGCGCAAGCAACGAATTGGTTGGAGAGGAGAGATGACTTGGTAGCGTGAGCGTGAATGGAGGAGCCGAGTCGAGGGCGGTGGATGGCGGTGCAGGATTTGAGAACGAGGGGGAAGACGAAAGGGTCGAGAGTGAGCGACGGCGAGGTCTGCATAGTATGGAAGAGAGAGAGGGCGTCCAAGTGACGGCCTTGGTTCACGTAAGACGTTAACTGTTTCGTTAAAGACAGTAATCGCATGTAGTTGTTATAGTTGGAACTCATGTTTCGATAATCCAATGCTTAGAATGTAATGGGCGGTTTATGTAATGAGTTGAATCAATCAATTAAATAACAAATTCAATACGCACAAATCAAACGACTTCAGTGGTAAAGAAACTATTGCTATCTTGATTTTAAAAAGCGTAAAACGCCCTAAAGCGCTTAGGATCCTAGACGCTGAAGCGTTAAGCGCTAAGCGAAAGCGCTCGCTTTATGCACACGAAACGTCAAAAAGGCCAAAATTCAAAAAACAATACAAAATATTTATAAATTATCTTATAAATACTTAAATATCAAAGTGTCAATACATATATTCAAAACTTATAAGTACTTAAACACCAAAATATAATTCTCAATTTACTTATAAGTTATAAACACTTAAATACTTATATACGATTAACCATACGACTATACGAGAATATTAATCTCAAAAGATGGTCTACACCAAAAGTAGTCTAAAGTGAGATGAACAGAAGTATTTTTCTAAACCCTCAATTCCTTATAACTAAAAATCCTCCAAATCATCATCGTCATCGTCATTAACTCGGACAACACCATCTCCTTCATCACTAGACGCTCTATTTATCTTTTTCCATATCATCTTCATCAACTAAACATCTACGAGATAGTCTACTAGAGATAGAATTATGAGCATGAGATTTTCCTTTATCATTTCTCGATGGTCCGGCTCCATCATTCACTACTTTTGATGCTCTAGTTAGATAACTAGGCTCATATGCACCGGAAGCGTTAGCAACATCACTCTATGTCAAATCCTCACCAACAAACACCGCCTCATCATCATCTTCATCATCTTCCATTCTTCCCATCAACCTCTCATTGCTCTCATCAATATCTTGCAAAAGAATGGGATCGGTCTCCTTACTTTTAGCTCGGCACTCCAAGGCATGATTGAATTTCACAAACACCATGTCATTCAATCTAGATTGTGCCAATCTGTTTCGTTTCTTAGTGTGAAGCTACAAGAAGAAAAAAACCAAAACTGATAATCTAATAGCCCGCTAAACCCTAAATAAGCCCAAAAATCGTATCTGCTAAAGCCCAGAATCGTATCTTCTAAACTCGCGATTAAGTTCCGATTAGCGCTTTGCTAAAAGCGCTGCAAAAGCGCCGATTACTACCGCTTAATGAATTCGTAGTGCTTTTGTTATGCTGAAGCGCCAGGGGCCTCGCTCGAGTCGCTTAGCGCTTTAATCGCGCTTAAGCGGCGCTTTTTTAAACTAAGGTTGTTATCATTTGAGATCCTGAATTCAAGCACTAATAATATCGTAAGGGTAGCATTTAATATCAAATTATTGAAAATTATATTAAAAAGGACTGTCTTTTCTCGATAGGTTCGAACCCTATTTCTAACATCCAAAAAGACAAACAAAGGCGTAGAATGAAGGTTCTTCACATGCCTATTTTAGGCAATTTTTTCAGTATGGTCGAATTCCTCTCAGACCTCCCAGGCTAAATATGCTCCGATGCATCACAATGTAAATCCCAAAACCCACATGGAGCCATTGAATCACAAACATAACATTAACACTGCAATACGAATCAACCCAACGTTACTCAATCCTTAAAACCAAATGTCGATGTTCAGAGCAGAACAAAGTAAAAGACGGCCAGTTTCATAGTTTATACATACCAGGTCACAATGTTCCTCATGTGCTGTTTTATCGAAGGGAAATCAAACACAGAGATGTCTTGAATGGAGATAATCCCTACAAGCCACCTTTCCCCTCTCTGCCACGATAGATACATCATCGTCATCGGTAATGGAGAGCTTCGCGATGTCAGTGGAATCAAAAGGGTTGGAATCAATAATATAGCAATCCTCCATGTCCATGTTTTTCAGAAAAATGTGATGAGGTTTGCGTTCCTGCCGCTCCTTTTTGCATGTGATATTGCTTAGCCTCGTGTTTTTATTCGCCGACGATGCTGATATGACTACTACTTCTTTATCCTCCATTGTTTCCTTGCCGCTAGTTGTTGGTCGCTGAGCGTATGACTTTCCTTACTAGAGCATTAAATCTTCGACTTCAAGGAACATAAAAGGACCGTTCGCTTCCTGTGTAATTAAATTTGCCTCAGGGAACCAAAGTGACACCCGTGTCACGTTCTCATTTCTCTTCCCTCTATTTTCAAGTTCCAGAAAGTATTCATTATTCGATTTAGGGTGAATTACAAATTTAGGATATAAATTATCAGTTTTTATCTGTTTTAGTACTTAAACTTTTAATTTTTTTAAAATCATATATAACATTTAGTTTTCGTTTCATTTTAGTATCTCACAGTTAAAAACTTAACACGTTTAGTACATAAACTATTAGTTTTAGTTTGTTTTAGTATCTAAACTTTCATTTTTTTAAAAACTTAACGTTAAATTTTGAAGGGTAAATTACACGCTTACTCACTGAACTTTACTCTCTCTCATATTTCATTCACCGTACTTTTAATTTTTTCAATTTATTCACTGAACTTTAAACATTAAACTTGTTTTGTCACTCTGCTGTTAAATATCTAGCAGCGTTATGACATAGATAAATTAAATTCCATATCAAAAAATAAATTAAATTATTTTTGAAGCTTTTCTCTTTCCCCGTTTTATTTCCTCCTCTAAACCCATTTCTTATTCTCTGCTCATTTAATCACTGTTTCTCTTTCTCTCTCATTCAATCACCCATCTTATTCTCTGCTCACAACCAGAAGAGATCAATAAGCCAGCAGCCAAAGAGAAGTATTTTGGCAACTATTCGCCACGGGTAAGGTTCACGAATCTGTAGGTGAAGAAGGCAAGAAGCTTTAATGAAATTTAAGTTTTTATTTTATTTTGATATTGATTTTGTGGTGCCTATTTTTAGCTATTGGTTTCAAGGATTGGATTGGACTTTTAGGTGACGTTTGGTTCGTTGGAATGTTTATGAGGGAATTAAAATCTGTAAAAGAATTAGAATCTGTCAGGAATTGGAATCCAATTTCATATTATGTTTGGTTGGAAGGAAATGGAATTGGAATCTAATTTCATATTCTGTTTGGTTCGCAGACATGTCAGATGAATTTGATTTCAGTAATGTAAAATGACAGAATTGTCCTTCTTATTTTTTTGCTTTATTTTAGTTTGTTTTACAACTTATATGTAGTAATATATTATAAAAATTAAAAAATATCAAATTTTCATTTTATTGATTGATTATTCATTTCAATAAATTATAAA